GTCAGGACGTCCTGGAAGAAGAAGAGAATCTGCAGCTCAAACGGCAAAGCAAACACACCAAGCACTAAGTGTTTGAGCAGGCATTTCAAAAACATATGAAAGAGTCTGTAGCTCAAACATCAGCGTTGTTGATTTTGCGCCATGAATCCGAGTCACAGTCGAACAAGGCCAGACTGGCTGAAATAGGGCCAGAAAAATGATGCGTTTGCGGGGAAAAAAACGACAACAACAAAATATATATACAAACAAATCCACAATAATTTCTGAAATAAATATCTATCTAACAAATAAGCTTGAATGACAAAATAAATTAGAACTAATTATGAACTTATAGGCTACACTATGGATTTATTTTACCGCACAATTGTACACCCGAATAAAGGCGCACTTACTATTAACTCACAGTATTTAGTTCCAAGGTAAAAACTAAATTAAAAAATAAAAACATACCATTCGAATGAGATGTAAAATAATATAATAATATAACATCGTGAAATATTCTAGGAAAATCCAGAATTTTAAAGTGCGCAATAATGCGCAATTTTGTGCGTATTGTCCGATCCCAGAGTCTATTCTCTGTGCGCAATAATGCGCAATTTTGTGCATTGTGTGTATTGTCCGATCCCAGAGTCTATTCTCATATATATGGTACTTCCCTAGAATTGTTCTCTTACAGTAAAAACACCACGGAATTTAAAACGTGATTCACATTTATTTAGCCATAAATGGAAAATATTACGGTTCAGGCCGCGACTAAATATAGTCTGTAGGACATTTACGTCAGATAAACAATGACATTTCAGCAAAGGAGTTGAAATGAATTTGGATACATTTTGTTGAAAAAACAAACAAACCCTGGGATGAAGTTTGCGTTGTATTTTTTTTTATTTTTCAAGACGTCTACATGAGGGCAGAGGAGCAGCAGTCAGCAGTCACCGTTTCTGGTGAAGTTATATCATTTAATACTCGCAATAAAAAAAAGTTAACACATTGTTGTGAAAGCTTTATGTCCTGGTGGTTGGAGGAGAAATACACTCTGGAGATCGCCCTAAATGTAACAGTAACACACGTCCCTGTCTAGTAAACTATTGTTGTCACCACTGACGCCGCACGTTGACTCTGACCTCAGGTTGGGTTTTTGTTTTTTGTTTCTTTCTTTGTTTTTTATTTTATTGTCTTAAGAGTGTTTGCAACTCGAGCACGTTTAACTGCACGACTGCATGCGTCCAATTAAACCGATCTGGGCCACGAGGGGACGGTAACAAGATTGCACGCTTCCCACATTTAGCCTTGACACCGACTCAGTGCTGCGTCCTGGTGAAATGTAAGTGTTGGTGTTGGTGTTGGTGTTAGGGTGTGCCTGTGTGTGTGTGTGTGTGTGTGTGTGTGTGGTGAGTGGTGAGTGTTGTGTCGTTTGGCAGAGGATTTATCGACGCAGGGCCGAAACAGTGTGATATTTGGGTGCGTCATTTTTGAACTGCGCGTTCCTCTTAACAAGAGGGTGACACCTATGTTAACCGTTGTAATTATGGCTAGAGATACATAGCTGACATTCCACGGCCTGGGCTGTGAAGTGAGTGGTGCAGTGATGTTTTAGGTGTAAAGAATAGGCAAACGCCTGCAACACCTTTCCTCCTCCTCCTCCTGGTTCTCCGGTCGGTTCAGAAATGTTGGCTTCTCTTGGCGAACGCCTTAAAAAAATACTGTTCGTCGTTGCATGAGTTGCTCTAATACAGAATAAACCCGGTTAATAAGTCACACAGACCCCTTTGCGTGCAAACTCTGCATATCCTTAGCCTGCTCATTTGGTGCAGCCCAATCAAACTTTGCTGGGTCCTACTGCTAGAGGAATATCAAGCCTCTGCTGCTGCTGCTGCTGCTGCTATCGCTGCTGCTGCTGCTGCTGCTGCTGCTGTGACTCGTCCATGCAGGGGAATAAACACATGGTAAACCTTATTCTTTGACTCGTGATCTCTGCGCACCGCAGCCACACCGTCCACCGTCCTGATCATATTTACCACTTTATGACAAATAGTGCGACCTAAACGCAGACGATATCACTATTTCCTATTGCTTTAAACGCCTCAGCTCCTCTTGTCTAGTGTGTGTGTGTGTGTGTGTGTGTGTGTGTGTGTGCACTCGTTTAAACCCAGCTCTTCTGCCTTTTCACTTGACCTGATAGGAGAAAAAAATAATAACTTTTAATAGTTTACCATCAATTCTTATATATTTTTTACTTTATTTATTCAAGGCCGTGACATGTTTTTATGCAAATTATGTTGAGAAAAAAAAATGGAAAAATACTATTTTTTTCTTGGTTTCTGGTTCTGTGTTTATCTGCTGCGATACAAAAGTTTTTGCCATTGTTACTGACTGACTGGTTTTATCTGACTTGTTTTCTGACCACAGCATGATCGTGTCAGTCGTTATATTTTTAATGTTGCAAGAGAAAAAAAAAAACCCACTACATAGTCAAGTGGCGGCTTCTCAGCGTTGGAGAGATTGTTTTTTAAATGTAAGGCCTTTACATTTTTACACCGATCAAATTAACCGTGACACTGATGTTAATTATAACGATTGTTTTGCGACTGCGCAAAACGCACAATGTTGCAGCATGTGTCCAGCATGTGTCCATACAGGCTACAGGCCAAAACGTCTTCACACATATCTCCACTGCTGCGTTTCCTCATTACATCAGCGGTTGTGCATCACACAACAAGCGCCAGAATTCATTTGCAAAATGTTGCATATTTTTTATATTAGCAACCAGCATTGAAAAAAAAATCAAAAATATGATTCATTTCACTGAAATGTTTGGCGTTTATTTTAGTTTTTTAGTTATTATTTCTGACTTCCCCTTTATTATTATTTTTTAGTTATTATTTCTGACTTCCCCTTCACATTTCTTCCCAGACATGTTTGTGCAGATTCTGTGCTGTGGTGCTGTGTGTGTGAGCATTAGCTGCACTGGTGCAGAATATCCTGTTGCTGAAATCCAAATTCCACTCATTCTCAAACGTTTATGGTTTTCTATAGAACAAAGGGGATTTCGCGTTACTACAGCCATTCGGGCTTTTTATGGTGGACGGAGAGGAGAATTTTAGTGGTCAAATTCAAGTGCTGTGTCTGGACAGCTGTCTGCTTTCTTTGTACTTGGATGCAGGATGCATCATGTGAGACAACCTTTTGTCTGCGGGCGTAATAAACAAGCTAATGTCAGCTCCAGCTTTTTGTACAAACACGTCTGGACGCCGTGGACGCTCACGTTCACTGGTGACGGTGAACTGAACGGCACCACCCCTTAAAAAAACAAAAACAAAACAAAACAAAAATCGACTCTGCTTTCCATTATTGTTAACCAACACAGGTGTCCCTTAAGTTTTCCTATTTGGAATAGAACGAAGGTGCTATTGGAAAAATGAGACGATAATTCAAGAGTCTATTGCAACGTTTAGGAAGCAGCCTATAATCATAAACAATGGGCCATCATATTAATTTCACCTTGTGATAGTATCAGTTAGTCTATAAAGAGTCAAAGATGGGCCTCAACAGTACAATTAAAAGTTTACAATGACGCAGGAACGAACACGCAGGCGCATCTTTACTCCAAACCATTCACTTTAATGCGTTTTATTTTTTATTTATTTATTTAAAAAAAAACAGTCCGAGCGACACTGCTCTTTTTTTAACAGTCATTTGGAGAGAACGTTCGACATTCTGTGGGAAATAAAACGATCACAGCAGCTCGGAGCATCAGCGGGGACTTGTTTAATTTTAGAGGAAAACAACGGATATTTCCACGCTGCCTGGTCAATATGTCCACTTTGACTGGCCTGTGAGTAGTCGTTCACCAGAGGAACTAATTGTCGCTGGGCTTCAAAAAATATAGACAAAAAATAAAAATATAAATAACTGCAGCTCAAAACATTTGATTCGATCTACACTTCCAGTGAGATTATTCATTCTCAGCAGTTTTTTTACGGTGAAATAATAAGTTGTTTTTTTCTCTCTCTGGAAATACTCCAAACTAGAGTAGTGATGGAATAATAAATGTGAGAGGAATAATTGTGTTTTTGTGTGTATTTTGGGGAGGAGGAGGGGGTGCATTTTGAGTGAAAAAAAACAACAAAACCCCCCAGGCTTCCAGAGCTTCAGTGGCGCTGTTCCACCAGGATCTCCATGAACCTGGACTGTGAACGCGCAGTTGTCCTTCATGGACTCCGTCATGATCCAAAGTCAAAGGGAATAATGAGAGTGGGCCGATTACTCCACCGTGCTCCGCCAACATGTGTGCAGTGGATTCTATATTGCCTAACCATTCGTTCAACTCCACTTTACAACATAATTATAGTCGTCCACCACCGATCCAGCAAGATTTTTCATCTGGTGAAAGAGGGGTCGAAGGGGAGGGAGAGGAGGGAGGGGGGGGGGGGGGGGGGGGGGGGGGGGGGGGGGGGGGGCGGATAAATGAATATGTTGCACAAGTTTAAACAGCAGAGAGGAGCTCGACTCATCCACGACTGTGTTCCAGCGTCATGTGTGCAGCAGATTTATATATGCTCTATTAAAGAATGAAAAGGAGGATCAGAAGAGCTAAGATAAGATCTCCTGCATATTTAAGGAGAAAAGATGTGGAGGAGAACGAGGGCATCACTCACTCCTTAACTCTTTACTAAAAAAACAAAAAAGAAAAAAAAAAATCACAGGCAGAATGTAAGAGCTGATTCGGTTTCTTATACATTTCCACCTCAAGGGGCGTGTCCTCCTACAGCTCCTATATCTAATGCAGTAATATGAGACATGTTAAAAAATATATTTAATTTTTTTTTATGTAACAAAGTCAGTTTTGGAAACTTGTCCTGATAGTAATTAAATCAATATGACTCCATCATTATGGGGAATATTAATAATAATAATATATTAATGAGAGTCTTACCTGAGAGCCTCCATAACTCTGTTAAAGTCATGGCACAGGCTGCACTCTGCAGTTTGTGCTGTGTCTGTTTAAGGAGCTGGAGCTGTTAAGCTAGGCTACCACCAGCCCATAAACATAAACACACACTGCACATTTCTCTCTAATTGTCATAAGCCAGCAAACAGGATTCTGTTACTGGTTTTCATAGTGCGCCTGTGGTGTTTGAAAAATTATTCGTTTGAACCTCCTCGATCTTACCTAAAGCCAACCACTCCTACACATCCAAGTCTTCCAAATTGATATATGACAATATCTACTTTCGATCACGTGTCTGCGGGGCGACTTAGACGGATTGCGCGTCATCTCGCCTTCCCAAATTTTTCCCTTCTGCTGCAGCTCGTATCCAAAACATCTATCTATAGCACGGAGTACGAGAGAGAGTGAAAGATGTTTAACTCTGTGAATCTGGGCAACTTCTGCTCCCAGACGCGCAAAGACCGGACATCCGAGTTTGGGGACAGGACTGGCTGCGCGTCCAACATCTACCTCCCCAGCTGCACCTACTACGTCCCCGAGTTTTCCGCCGTCTCCTCGTTTCTTCCACAGGCCCCGTCCCGGCAAATCAGCTATCCTTACTCCACAAACCTCTCTCAAGTGCAGCCGGTGCGGGAAGTTTCATACGGCTTAGACCCAGCGAGTAAATGGCACCACCGGAGCAACTATGCATCGTGCTACTCGGGAGAGGATCTGGTGCATAGGGACTGTCTTCCACCATCCACCATGACAGAAATGCTCATGAAGAACGAGAGCGTGTACAGCCACCACCATCACCATCACAGCCACCCGGGCTCCAATCACCCCTCCACAGGTTTTTACTCCGGCGTGGGGAAAAACAGCGTCCTTCCGCAGGGTTTCGACCGCTTTTTCGAGACCGCATACTGCAGCAGCACGGACAATCAGTCAGACAATTGTTTACAAAAGGGCGAAGGGGGGAAGCTGGAAAGCGACTCCCAGCAGCAGCAGCAGCAGCAGCAGCAGCAGCAGCAGCAGCAGTCGTCCACAGCCTCCGTACCCGGAGCTCCGGAGCAGGACAAAGAACCGGAGGATGAGGAGGAACATACAAATTCAGGCTCGTGCACTTCTTCCTCCGCGACAACCAAGGACGGCAGCGCCAGCAAGAGCAGCCACTCGAGTAGGTATACCGAGGCTGTAAACTGGGGGTAGGTTAAGGGGGACTAGCCCGGTGTTTTGTCGGTCAGATTTTATGTGGAGTTTTATAAGCATTCAAAGGATTTTATTATAACCCTACAAAGCTCTTTCTTGCAACGGGAAGAATTTTTACGATGGGAAAGGCGCTTTGAAAAAAAAAAGAAAACCGGGGATGTTGTACAACAGGACGTCTGTGTCTGTGTCTGTGGTGAGAGTCTGTGAAAAATGTTTTAACAGAGAAGAGCTATTGTGACAAACGCTAACTTTGATCGTGAACTTGCGTCGAGAATTTTAAGGGATATTTCTCGTCGGGCTGTCGAGAGTAAAAACCAATTGGGCAGAACATTGCTTTTGGCGTCTTGGTGAATTTTTCCTTTAGCACTGGCTTTAACCGGGAAAGTCATGCTGCACTGAGTATTACATAATTTACGGTTAAACGCGTCCTTTATCTGTCTGTCTATCTATACTTAATGTAAGCTAGCTATTCATTTATATTTATTCTGTGTGTGTTTTTATATTAGCTGCTAAAATAGCCACACTGATAGTTGGTGCCAGTTCTGCCTGATGAAAATGCTGTGGATTTTTTCCCCCTTAATTCTAATCTGGAGGATTGTTGTTGTTGTTGTTGTTTTTTTCTTCAACATCCCACCTGTCAAATCATTTATTGACACTCACGTGCTTAACACTGTGGATGTGAATGAACAAAACTGAGTCAGAATAGACCGGGATCCATGGTCCATACATACAGTACATATATATATACATATATGTGTGTGTGTGTATATGTATATATACTGTGTGTAGCTGCATGTACAGTATAGTAGCCCTTCAGTTCCACAGGCTAGCTAGAGCTGTGTGTGTGTGTGTGTCCCTTACACACACTCACTCTCTCTCTCCCCCTCTCTCTTTCTTACACACACACACACACACAATAAAAATAATCTATTTCCCCAGTCACCTGTTTGATACCACGTTATGGGGCAGCTGAGGTCTACACAGGCCACTGCAGACACGTCCACTCCATTTCAAGTGTCCGCCAAAAGAGTGTGTAAATTGTTAGTTTAGCTCCAGAGGAATGTGGCGCACATTATGCGACCAAATACATTTGTTGTTGTGCATTTGCAACAGATAAACACGTACTTAGAAGCTGTAAGTTGATATTGTTTACTCCGAGCCATCCGGACATTTAACACTCTTCATGTCGGCTTTAATCTGATAGCCCACTTGGGCTACTCTGCCTGATGAATGTTGACTGAAATGTTATCATTACTTTGCTAATGCCACTGAAAAGACACCCTCAGCATTTGGCCCAGCGCTCACCACCTCAGCTCAGGAGCTCCGCTGTCATTTTCTTTATTTTTTTGTCAATTTTCTTTTCTTTAAAAAATCTAGTAAATAAATTTATTTTTCTTGCAATTTTATTTTTAAAAAAATTTAATTTAAAGTCACAGTATAATATTATATTAATTTGATTTCCCAGGCACTCCCCGCACAAGGAAGAAGAGGTGTCCGTATTCCAAGTTCCAGATCCGGGAGCTGGAGCGGGAGTTCTTCTTCAACGTTTACATCAACAAAGAGAAGAGGCTTCAGTTGTCCAGAATGCTCAACCTCACCGACCGCCAGGTTAAAATCTGGTTTCAGAATAGAAGAATGAAAGAGAAGAAGCTGAGCAGAGATCGGCTGCAGTATTTCTCTGGAAATCCCCTATTGTGAGCCGAGCAGGGAGCGTGTCACGGTCTTGGGTCAGTGACATTAAGGCCGACTCTAATCTCATCGAATTGTAATCCTGGGCATAAGCCTTCTATTTTCTTCTAAAGGAGCCCATCTCACCTACAGTGCAATGTTAAAGAGGACAGTGGACAGAGTGAAGCAGGCCAGCAGTGGGGATGAAGTCGCCATTTTCTCGCCGCCCTGCAGGCGGCCAAGAATTTGTAGCAGATCCCTAGAAAGGCCTACGTGGTTAGAATAATCATTTATATGCTGTTCTTGAATATGTCCCTCTATTTATCACGACTCTCCATTGTGTTTATCCTCTTGTTCATATATACATATTTGTTAATAATATCAAATGTAAACGAACAGTTCGAAATCCTTTTACCCCCCTCGCCCCTCCTGTCTCCCCTCCTGTCTCCCCTCCTGTCTCCCCTCCTGTCTCTCCCCCCCTCGTTCCTCTCTGGTCCATGTATATAGCAAATTCTTATCTAATTATTTCTTCGGCCAGAGGATATACAGTATGAGCGACTTCTATCAAATCTCCAAGGCTGCATTTATTTCTTCGGTGAGAACTGTGACGTCCAATCTGTGA